ACGTGAGCAGAGAGAGAGAGAGAGAGAGAGAGTAAGGCTACAACTGATTGATCTCCAAAAAGAAATAAGGAAAGAAAAACAGAGGAAAGTGAGAAGGAAAGTGAATACACAATATTTTACAATTCTTAAAATAGAATAATTAAAACAATATTTTTTTACTCGAAAAGTGACACTCAAGCTCTTTCTTCACATTTGTTTATTGTGCGTTTTTTTTTTTTTTTTTTTTTTAACCGGGCACCACAGAGATAGCATTTCATTCACCACACAGCGCGTCAGCGGTTTGATGTTAACACTTAATGTCGACAGAATAGATTGCCTGGAATTACTCCATTAAGAGCGGTGTTAACAGTCGTCGTAACTCATCACGTACACCCGTGATTAATGTTCATTTAGGGATATGGACTTAAAGAGATGCGTAATAGGTATGCTGGATAGGAGATATATGAGGTTGTTTGGACTGAAATAGGATTCGGGGCTTGTGTCAGAGAAAAATTAAGCCGGAACTTAATTTCTTCACTTTTTAAGACCAAAACAGTGGTCTAACTCAGCTCATATCAAATATATAGTCTTACTATTAAGTGAAAAAAAATATTGGTTCGAAACACTAGTCATGTCTTTTTTGTTTTAAAATAGACGCTGTCTTTATTTTCATTAGACTTCTATCAATTTGTCTTGGGTTGCAAAAATTGTAATTTTACACTTAAAGTTTGGACCACATTTCGGGCTGACGCGTTTCTGAGAAACGGGCCCTTGCTGGTATGTCTATATAGAATCAACCACATCCTTGCGTTGTTTGTTTCGAAGAGATGCTTGTGAATCCAGTCCTACGTTGGCAAAGCACAAAAAGATGACAAAGAGTTTGGCTGTACGTTACTTCGTGCGAGTATCGTCTTACTGCGGTATTGACACGCAAAAGGTGGGGTGGAATTCTCATGTATCATAAATGTCAGAAGTAGCGCCAGCGAAAGGAGAGGAGTTTGGTGAGGAAGCTTTGTGGTGAGCTGTTGATGAACAAACTGCTGTTGTGGAAGACGTGTGTGTGTGTGTGTATGTGTGTGTGTGCGTGTGTATGTGTGTGTGTGTATGTGTGTGTGTATGTGTGTGTGTGTGTGTGAGAGAGAAAGAGAGAGAGAGTTTTAAGTTTGTCTCTGAATCGAAAGAAATTAGACAGACAGATACATAGATAGATAGATAGATAGATAGATAAATGGCTAAAGCACTTTGCTTTTAGAGTATTCAATATTACATACTGATGAACTCTTGTTGTTGATGGTCGTAGATATTGGTCTTCAAAACCCCATATTCAGATATGTCACCAGTTGGCCACAAGTGGTTATCAATGAGGCGGGCACCTTGTCCCTGAAATGCATCTCTCTGCATATTTCGTTGGAGAATATCAGGCCTGTAGCCAGCAATTTTAAAAGGGGGGTTCTTTTTCTGAAAAAGTAGACCTTTTCCCATAAAAACCTCATGTACCTAGATCAAAATTTACCTAGAGTGGTCTTTTCCACGCAAAAGGGGCGGTTCTTTCGAACCCCCCGAACCCCCCCTGGCTACGGGCCTGAATATGATGTATGTCATATATTCCGTATAGTTTAAGTTTTGGGTTAACACGGTAATGGCTCCATAGAATACGTTATGGAGCCATCTCCCCGTGTTCCGTTAGAAATAGCTTATGGTTTTGAGATATTTGCGGTTAAGACTGCATAATTATGAATTCTCTTTACGCCCTTTTTACGACAATGCTGTAGCTAGGCTGAATTAAAAAAAAAAAAGCAACCATCATTGATTCAATAAAAAACAGCAAGAAGCCTTTCACAGAATACATGACAATTTTAACAATATTACTAAAATAACTGTCTATCCGAAGACGTACAATTCACAAGAGAAAACAAAAGAAGTCGACCTCGTCGTTTATTGACCGACGGAATGACGCATGTTTGAGGATATCAGAATACTCAAGTTCTTTATATCTACAAGGTTTCTGTTTGTTATAGTGGCCCTGTCAACTTTACAGCCTTCGTTTTTTAACTGTCTTCATATTGGTAAAAAAGAAAAAAAACAGATCGTTTTTAAAGTGAAGAAGCTTGTTTTCACCTATGAGGCCTGAAGTTTCGACCCTAAAATACTCGAAGGGCCTTGTATGATCGCTTGACTGCTTTGTCGATGTAGGATCGAAACGTTATGTCTCTAAGTTATAAAAAAAAAAAAAAAATCTCCCAGGAAACAATATGCTTTTATTCCATCATTATAGAAGAGACAGTGAAAACCCCTTTCTCGCGTGCTTTCTTACTGTTGACCATTTTATACTTAACGGAACATTACATGTGGACATTGTTCTTTTTACTTTAACTGATGAATGATGATGATTATGATGATTATAATTATGATTATTATAATAAGACTTTTTATCTCTACTTATAATACCATTATTACTTTGAAATCTAAATTAAGCTTTCAATTTGTATTTCAGTTGTAAAGTCTACAGAACATATTTTATGGATTTAAGACCCTAGATAAATAAATTATTATTATTATTATTATTATTATTATTATTATTATTATTATTAATGTAAATATTTCCAGCTGTTCATCTGGGTCTTTTTTCTTTTTGTGTGTCAGCTGCTTCCTGCAGCTTAGACACACAGCACTTTTCGCATTTATTATTATTATTATTATTATTATTATTATTATTATTATTATTACAGATAGTACCATGGAGGTATTGTGGAGGAATATGGTTACCCAGGTCATTTGGTGGCGGTGGTTGGGTCTTCTTACTGTCCTGTTATCACTGGGAGGCGCCATGATGGACCTCGTTAGGTTTGAAGGTAATAATAATAATAATAATAATAATTATACACTTTAACTTAAACACTTAGCACAATCTTTTATGATGGAATAACATATCATTATTACGACTGTTTGAAGAAAGATAAAATTCAGATGAAATTCTCTCTCTCTCTCTCTCTCTCTCTCTCTCTCTCTCTCTCTCTCTCTCTCTCTCTCTCTCTGTATTATTAGTGAAGCCGAAAAACAGTTTAGATGCTATAACGAAAATTAGCTTCCTTCCATTTTAAACTCTCCGTTCTATCTAACATGAGTAAAAGGACACGAAAGCAGGGAGTTATTATTCAAATGAAAATCGATATGGTGTTATGTTCTGTCCATCGCAATCTCCCCAAGGGCTTCTTCAACTCTAAATTCCGTCCTTATATGTGCTTGTGTTTTCACCTCTTAATGCCGCATCTAAACTTCCTGTCGTATGGGAAAACTTGGATTTCCCTGCGGTAATTCTAGCCTGAGAACCGCAACGCTTATCCTCTAAGTGAATCTAGGTTTCCACGCGGGTTATTCTTTCCGTCTATGTTTAAAGCTAGTTTGTTAGTGAATCCGGTGTCACAGGCTGCGGAGCGTGGTCTTGCTCTTCACGGCAAATCAAGTGTTGGTTTTGCCAGGTGCGCCTTGTTAAGATTGCGTCCGTTGTCGCAACTAACACACTGGGAGAAACCTCGGGTAAATCCAAAGACTGCATAAGGATATAATCAGCACACTAAAATAGCTGGATTGCACAATTTCTATGTATAACTGCCATTCATTCATGAATGAATATTATTAGGCATCAAGTTTTGATGCAAAACTCATATTTCGGACCTAAAATCGAAATGATCATCTGAGCAAAAAGTTCGATGTATAATTCATATTTGGGTAAAGGAGTGTCTTCTAAACAGTACATACTTATTTTTGTCTCTGATATTGCTATCCAGTGGTTGAAAAAATAGTTGCTTTCCTAGGGATAACTGGCCAGAGGATAACAATATTATCCAATGTATAGTGTTATCCAGAGGATATCCCTATCCTCTGTTGTTAAAACTGGGCCCTGATGTATAAGGGTCCATTCTCACAGATATTTGGATCGATCTATCTTCTTGGGGAGTCTAACTAAATTGCTGTCAACTTAACCGGCTTAAATGTCTGTCACCCTTAGTAAAGCCATTTAATGGGGTAATTATTTTTACCCCTAGCTGATTCGGTAGGCGTGACAGACATTTAAGCCGGTTAAGTTAGTTGATAGCAATTTGGTGAGACTCCCCAGGGAGTTAGACTGATCCAGATGGATCAATCTAAGCATGGGAACCCAGTCTAACTTATATTTCAGACAAACCCTTCGACACCAGTATCCTGGTACACGGCCGGACAGTCTCCTGCAACGGGAGCATCCCCAAGGGAAGGTTCGCAGGGCCCACGTGGACTTGTGCCGATATCAAGTAAGACATTAGCTTGCGATCCCAACTGGTGTAACGAAACTGAGGGTCCGTGTAACAAAAAGACCGCCCTCCATTTAGTTTTAATGGTTAAAATTAGCCTGATCTATTTTGTAGATTGTAATAGGCAGGGTTCTTTTATTACTGTTACCAAGGAAATAATGAAAATTAGACACGTAGCGATGGCATTGTTGCCTCCACCAAGAAGGTTATGCTTTTGGTTCTGTTTGTCTGCCTACGCTCTGTGTGTTGGTCTGTCTATTAGCAATATTATGCAAAAGAGGTACGTGCGGGGTTTGATGATATCATCAAAACTGTCAAGTAAAAAACGGTGACTTTTAGATGCTGATTTATAAATTACCTAATAAGCCTATGTATTGTAATGAGAATTGAATTGCCTTGGCGGAGGTCTCCTCTCTTTGAGAGGTCTCCTCCCCCCGACAATCTCTTTTCATCTTTTCCATTTAGGGTTGATGGATTGCGGCTTTCCTACGGATTTATCTCTTATGAGAGCGGCGTGGGCCAGTCCGAAAGACACTGTGACGCCAACACCGACAATTTGACAAACGACTACGCCCAGTTGTGCAGGGAAATGATGGCGGTTCAGAAGGATGTTGGCCGGGAACCGTTTTGGTCCGCTTTTGTAGGTATCTTCCCCAACTGGCATGTGTATGACATTGCCATATGTAGGGGTTTCCACTTTTTAACGTCTCATTAGTGAGCAAAAATGTTCATTAGCTTGGTAGTTGGATCATATATGATATTTATCAAACGCAAGCTGAAACACTTTCAAACCGTTAGCTTACGGTAGCTTCAAGTTGGACGATAGCTAACGATATGAAAGTATTTGATGATGATATATCATCTCTGTTAGCTTAGTAAAATCGTTCCAAAAAAAAAAAAAAAAACCCTGGATCCAGTAGTGATAGCGGTCACATGACCTTGGCGTTACTTGAAAGGGGGCGCAATGTTGGAGCTTTTGCAAACCTTTTAGCGCATACGGTTATTATATGAAAACGTCCCGAAAATAATTTTGCTCGCCAGCGGCGCTTTTTTTGCACACATCTTACACTTTATTTGCCATATACTGTTTTGATCTCTTCGCTGATACTGGAAGCTACTTGATATTTTCGAATAACAAGAATTAATACATTTCCCCCGAAAAATTATTTTATGATTAATTTTGAATAAATCAGTTTAAAAATGGATAAATCTTGAAGGATTGAACAAAGTGAGATATTTGAGAAGTTTAAAGAATTGTCCGCCTTTTTCAGATCAGTGACGGCAGCTGCGGCGCCTTACCCGAGAAACGCATGAGGTTCTTAAAGGACAGGGGCAGAGTCTGGCACGTGATGGATCCAGGGAGAGGTTACGTCAGGACGTTACAGTGCATGTTATATCCTAACCCAAACGACGGGTTACACTGACGACGAACAGATGACTCGGGAAATTCCGGTCAAGATCGGACAAATTGTTCAACTCTCGCTGGTACGAGAGATTGCGGGATTTTTGCTTTAGTACCAAAGAATGGAACTCAAAGTAGAGGCAGCGTGGCCTCTCGGAGCGGAGAGAGAAGTAGCTTGGCTTTTCTTTATCTGATAGTGTTAGGAGCGGCTGGCATTCACACCACCTTAGTATAATCAAATGCCACCTCCTTGTGACGTCACTTTCTACACTGGTGACGTCATTCTCTGAACTGGACGGATAGACCAACTTAAGTGTGAAAATTTTAACTTAACTGATTCCTTAACATTTGGTTGAATGACACGAAAGATTGAACTTAGACATATTTGAAAAAAAGTTTTATGCGTTTTCACCGATCAGCACCGAATCAGAAGAAGAGAAAAGCTGAAAAAAGTTGAAGTGAACGCTAAAACAAGGTGATACGAAAATGCCGTTCTGCCCAGAAGTGACGTTGGTGCAGTGGATCGGGCATATTAATGACGATTCAAGTTGCGCTCTGGCTTATCTGTTATGAATCTTAAAGTGCGCAAGATACTGGGACGGACACGGTGCTCCGAAACGATGTATTAGTGGGCTGCCTTAGCTGAGGAGAGATGTGAAACCGTTAAGGATGCTCGCTGTCGGCTGGGTGTGAATTCGGAGGGGTTTTTATAAGGAACGAACAGTGGTGGATTTATTAGGAGGTACGAGAATGTACATGCTGTCTCCTATGATGAAGAGTTGACGTCGACAACAGATTATTATATATCACTTCAATAATTGGTAGAACCGTGGAAGTTCGCCAATATTACACGAATGTTTTGCCACGACTAGTTGCATGATGCTTGTTGACACATTGTGTGCACGTGGCCATGAAGAGGGATATCATAGGAAAAACTGTGCTGTGATGTTCGGAAAACATTCAGTAGGCCCTATTAGGTGTGTGATATTATAACTATTGGTTATATCCCGTGTATCTGGCAAGTGATCCAGATCGTTATCCTTTTTATGCTTCTCGAAGATCACGGGTAATCTTAACGGAACTGTAAAGCAAACGGAATGGTTATTTTTACGACATAAAGGTAACTTTACGCCATTATCGGAACAGTTGTGATTCTGCAACGGTGAAAAGCGAAAAGGAAACATAAACAGACGAATTTCGCCATTCAACAGTATCGGGAGAATGTATGACCTAACAGCTGTAAGACGCGAAAAGGAAATGAAAACGGAACAATTTGACGGCATCACATTGTCTCATCGACAATATTTGATGGAGCTTTGATCCTGAAACTGGAAGGGGGGGGGGGGACAGACCAAAGATACACAAGCAAACCGACACGATCCGACCTTCTACCAAAGACTTGTGATAATAAACTCAAAGATGTAACTGCCTTTGATCTGCCTCTTACAGGCGGTGATAAATCATCGCAAGCGCCATCTTCAAACATCCAGCGCTGTCATGTGGCGCTGTAGCCAAGACACGCCACTGCATCTCAAGATTTTTTTTTCAAAAATTGTATTCAGTTCTTACCTCATATATGGACACTTTCAGTGGGGTATTATGGGCACTTTCAAAGGGTTAATGGACACTTTCAAATACTTAAGTTGGGTACTTTCAACTTTCAAAGGATTTTTAAAAACATCTCAGGGACCCGCATTTGTTCCCAAAGCTGGTTCTCCGTTTAAGATGAGCTGACTTCAAAAATTACCACAATCTGAGCAGCGCTTTTCTTCAAAATGGATCTTGCCTAGATTAATACTCCAAATGTATTTACATCAAGCAAGTTTTCAAAATTAGTGTCATTTGTTATGCTGATGTTTTAGGTGACAATGAAGTAGGTGTCACCTTTAAAAAAAAAGGCGTCACCATATCGCGTGTTTTTAATGCTGTACAGTTCTTATTGTGAAAGACCTGGACCTGTTTTTGCAGCATGCTTTATGCTCTGCATCAAACTAAAGCTAATACAAATCTTATTCCTATTTTTTATCATTACGTCATACCGTATTATCATGTTTTTTTTTTTTTTTTTTTTTTTTTTTTTCAGTAGAGAATTGTAGTCTCCCCCTACGCCAGTTTTCTTTACAAAAATTTGTAGAACGTGATATATAAAACGGACGCATTAAGTTAAAGCAAATTGCTTTGTTTGTAGGTAAGTGGTCAGAAACTATGTATCTATTTATCGCAGTGAGTGTGCGGAAGGATCCCAAATTTGGTAATCAATCAGATTGAGCACTGATTTATTTTAGAAACATTTACGCCGAGATTTTTTTATTTTTGTGGTTAAGTTGGTAATAATTCAGGCTTGTTTAAGTCGGATGCGACAGGTGAGAAGAATGTGACGCTTCACAGCTGAAACAATCATCCCAACATTCCATTACGAGACGTAGCGCCATCTATTGTATATCTGTAGGTAGAAATGGCGCAACTATTAGAATGTTTGACAAGACAGCCAATATCTGACAACACGTCCCTTTGGACTCAATAAAATTTGCATTATAGGATTTGTAGAATCGTGAAGAGTAATATAATTAATTTTGGTAAGAGTGTACTTAGTCATCATGCCAGGATTAATTATTGTGATGACATATTTTTCCACTGTCATCTCTGATTATATTTACTGTTGGTGTCATACGAACATTTAATTTGATCTCTCTGTAAATAAGACGAACGCACTACATAGTGAGTGGTGTACATAATTGTACGATTATTTAGAGTTTTGTTAACAGCATACTAAGCTATTATATAAGCGTTATTGTAAGTAGTATAATTGTTAATATGTTAAAATGTTGGCGGCGTTGCAGCGAATAAAATTGTGTTATAGTGTTGGTTCAAACGAGTGCTTTTGCCTGCCGGCCAAGATGACAGTAAAAAAAGAGTAAAGTTCGATTCTTACAGAGCGTATTCAGAAGAAGTTCATCCTCGGACATACACATGTTCGGATCAAATAACGTTAAATTTTTAATTCCTAAGTTGTTAGAAACTATGCGTGAGAGATTGAGATGGAGGTGTAATGCTCGAGTCTCACACTTAATATGTGAAAGTTCAGTAATTTCACCTGTATAAAGTAATGTTAAACGGTCAACAATACCTATTATACTATACCATTCTTATCTGATCGGCGAGATGTGTGCGACAGATACCGTGGAGTGTTTTGCCATCAATTGTGATTATAAAATGGTTACAAAAATGAGATCACCCAAAGTGCAAGATATTTTCGTTGTGCGCATGACAATCACACCAAACCATCACGACAACTTGGAATGAGCAATAAAAATATTTCTATTCCTAAAACTTATTTCGATTTCCAAGTAAATGTTTTGACAGTCGTTATTATAGACAACCGCTCCTTTGTAGATAAAGGCAGAAAACACATAATTAATTTTATCAAATAAATCAACAGTTCGATCAATTTATTTATATACTTTTACAATATATGTACAATACGATAAAATACGTTATTTGACTACATATTTATCAAGTAAGATACATTTATAGTTCATTGTTTGCATTATTCTTCCCCACGTATGCTTACTTAAGATACTAATCAAAAATATACAACAATCTACTAAAGAGAAGATAAAATTTCTGACTGATTACAATTTTTTCATTAAAAGCATAGCGTTGACATTTTGAAAAAATATCATCTATTATTAATAAAAAGTAAATATATCATGAAAACTGCCACAGAATTCAAAGTGAATATTCAATTTGGCCAATCTCGGTTAATCCTGTACAAAAGTATCAGCCGACATATTCTGGGTGGACAATTCCCATTGATTATCATACTTGTACCTCCTCTTTCAGATACCCACATCAAAGCTCATGTTAATAATAAATTCTGAAAGATAATTTCAACACCTGTAATTGTATTACCTTAAATAATGTGGCCTCCCTGGCCACTGTATCGACCCGAAGTTTGATCTAAACTACCTTGAATAAGAGTTTATCAAAATAAACCTTACACTACAAAATATAATGAGATTCATATTGAGCAAATACTGTAGAGGCAAGGGGTAATTATGAGTGCACTTTTGCTTAAATGTTTCCAAGTGCCAATCATAAAATTAGAGTATATTGAACAGCAACAGAAATCCCTTTATAGATGAACAATGGCGGATCAACATCCTCAACTACGAAAATATCCCTATATCAACCGAAGAAACAATACAATACCCCCCTGGGAACGTGTCGGTAAGCTATTCGAAAACTAACGAATCGCTGAGCTTGTCAACAGGCCCACCCTCTGTGAGCGAAGTCAGAACAGCAGACTAACAGATATGGTGATCCACTAAAAAGCTTGTCGTTTAGTTCCCGAGTAGACACTGAATAGATTATCCGCGGGGATTACGCACCAAGCATTTAAGTCGGTCGGCCATATTTGATCCGCGGATCAGTTAGTCCGCTCTGTGATGATCGATGGGCATGGTGGCGGGCAACACCCAAATCGTACGTGCCAAGCAGAATCCTTCAAACCTTGGTGCAAACGTTCCAGTTTTAGTGCATTGTTAGGGAGGGTACAGTCACGTGTCCTTCTTTAAGTCACGTGCCATCTGCACGTGCTTAACTTCCTTGTTTTGCAGAAGGACGTCCTGTTTGAACAGGGTGACTCTTGCCAAAGGCGGATATGGTGCTTTACACAACCCACGTTAAAATACTGATTGTCCCAGCAACTGCATAAACTTGTGCACGTGCTAAACATTGATAACCTATACCATTACTACTTTTACCGGTGACGTAGATATGCCAAAAACACAGCAAAAACAGAATCGGACAACAATATATGTATCACATTACAATATCACATGAACAGAACTCTTCAATCATTGCGATTGTGCTTTTTTTGATTTATAAAAAGAAATGCTCTTCAGATCTTTATATTATAATTCGATGTTCAGAGTCGCCAATTGCCCTAAATCAACAAGGTACAGGATATCCAAAGGCGCTGACAAAATAACGATCATAAACTTTTTGGGGAGGATGTGCTGTAAGTATCGTGTTTTAAAAATGGGTTAATAAATTGAACATTTGTCAACGGTTGTGGAAAGGCAATGCCTTAATAATTCAGAAAGACTTGTTGAAATTCCCAGGAAATTTTCTACTATTATAACCCATTGCTACAGAAACGTTTGAGACGTATTGTACGCCATTTACATCTGACAGAATGGTTCCAAAAGGGACACGTGATCCGTCTCACTGAAACCGTGAAATCCTACATCCGTTATAACTAATTAAAAGTTACATAAAAGCACGGCACCTATTCATTAAAATTTATCACGTTTACCGGCGTTAAGACACAAAATTAACGCATTTACAGTGTCGCTTTTCAACTGAACGCCGGTCCGTCCCGTGTATCGTTCCTATCAAATGACATGAGTAAACGAAATAGTTCAAACTCAATTTTACCCCAGGGTGTTACTCCTAAAAAAATGAGTAAATCCCAAAGACTACCAATTGACTTATTAACGTTGTTGTAAATTGTACCTTAAAGAATGAAATTAAAAAATTGAATTTCAAATGGGCCTTATGCGTTTAAAAAAGTCCATTACCTTTGCCACTACCTTCAAGTTCACTTTAACCTAAAATATATATCAAATTAAAAGACAATACCCATAACAACCGAGCACCAAGTATCAGATTCAATGTGGCGACGCGTGTCGCCTTCCCCAATCACTTTTAACAAACGTACAAAGTAGTGTAGCCATAAATAGTAACGTTAACATCCCATATCTCAAAAGCCTGTTCTTCATGAAATTGATTATTTTAGCTGAAATTTCACAATGTAAGCTCTTCGATACGACATGATCGTATCTCAAGAAAGTTACCTTTGCTTTTTGACATCTTCGTCTTGGTCCACTTTCTTTCTTTATAAATATTACTTAAATTCTGATAGACTTAAAACGTTTCGATTATGTTAGTGGACGAAGACACTATAGGCTGCTTATTTCCCTTCACAAGGCGAAGCATGAACTACACGAGATTCTGTTTTTGGTGAAATCACTCACATTCAGCTTATATCGTCTGGAACTCCTCGTGACTGCCCTGTAAATGCGCATGCGTATTTGGTTGATAAAAGTTCCCGGATAAACTATACCCGTACTGCTGGTCCTGCTGCCCGCCGCTGCCACCGAGTGTGTCGTGGTAATAATACCCATAAGGGTGTGGGTCGCTCTGCCTGTTATACATACTGACGTACGAGTTTTCCCGACCGTTGCCGGCGCTCAGTCGCTCAGCGTCACTGTCCGGGACAATTTGTTCTGGGGAATGTTTCTCCTGTTGCAGCACGGCCGGCAGCACTTCCAATTTCATCCTTTTTGCCTGTGGGGTATATCCGTCGTCGTTTTCGTCACCGGTCCCCTCTGGGCTGCTTCCTTGGTCGTCTGCCCCATACCCGGTTCCACTTTCGGGACCCCTTTCTAGCCCTCGGGACTGGGGATGGTAAGGGTAACCGTTACTGGTTGGCATGGCCATATGATTGTACTCCCCCGAACCCTCGCAGTCCGCAGCTTTACCCCTGTAGTCAAAGGATTGCTCCAAAGAGCCACGTGAGTACCTTCCGTGGTACAGGAGTGCCCCCTGGTCTACAGGGGGTCCGTTGAAGGCGGGGCTAAATGAACCAGGGACTCCCATTGGTGGTCTGCCCCGAGCAGCGCCACCTGGCAATGAGGGCACGTAGGACGGGCTTGCGTTGGGATTTCGACTGAAGAGGGCGTGGAAGCTGCTCTCCACAACGGGCGGGGATGGAGTCGCGCGCTCACTTGTACGGTCGTAGCTGTCGCGGAATCCTTTGGCGAATGGATTGTGGTCTATCTTCAGCTGTGTTATCTGAAATGATGCGACGGCAATGTATTTGAAACTCATCATACGCCTCCAAAGCCTACGAAACTCTGTAGCTACATTGTGATTCCAGGAATTTTTCTATGGGTGGTGGGGTAGACGCAAGCACTTATTTTTCCTTCGTTGTATAAAACTGAAATTTCAGTATAAGATGAAAAGGCACGGGGATGGAAAAATTCTCAGTTTTGACTCATTTTGCGAATTCTTTTTTTTTTTTTTTTGTGGAGCAGAAGGGTGCCTTCAAAGCAAAGGGAGCAAAGGGAGGGACAAGTACCCATGTGCCTGTCCCTAGTTCCACAGTAATATGCATCTCTCACATTTGTTTAGCCGATAAACGTGAAATAAAGGGCACGTTGTAGTGAGTCAGTTGCATATATGCAAGTATACATGTAGATATTGTTATGCAGTTGCATGTAACCTATACCAAAATAACAAAAAAATATTACATAAAAACAGACGATTTCAGTTACTTCCGTAAAATAGTTTCACACTAATGAATGGTGAACTCAAAGACAAAAAATACTACACAAAAATGATTTGATTTTTTTACATTACGTATCAATAAAAAATAGACGTGGTGTGACACACGGCACTATAAATGCTGAATTATGCTGAATCATTCCCCCATAATGCACGTACGACATGCAACAGTCTGCCGCTGAGGCAATGGCAATTCCTTCCTGCAATTAGGAAGTAAATTATCATCAAATCACCGCAATTCGATGATAACTGTAATAGACTGGTTGCCATGGCAACAAAAATGCAATACTCATTGTACTGTCGTTGTCATAGCAGGAAGTGTTACAACATCAATGTCTAAATACAACGACATTTTCTCTTTTTTTTTCAAATTGCAAAATATTTTGTAACGTTTAAGGACGAATTTTTGAAGAATACAGCAATGTTGGATAAATCACAAGTTCGGTTCAGAGCTATGAATCAAGTGTCTCTTTCCTACAGCTGGAATCATTGAATGAAAAAAATGTTGAAAAATAATAATGACACGATTCAAACTAGACTGTTGGACGCTCTTGTTTTTAATTTCTAGACCAAATTTGTTTACCGTTTGTGCGCACCCGTACGCGTGTGTCGTATTATTATGTGTGTTTTTGTGAAGTTTGTTGTCATATTTCATACCTTCGCACAAAAAAATCTTCAACCATTTTTCTCATGTTTTCCGTATCTTATATATATATATATATATATATATATATTCTGTATTTTTTTAAAATGTAACTTACGTCTGTATTTTGATAGGCTGTCACAGCTATGAATTGAGTCTCTGGAAAACAGTGCGTCTGGAGGTCCGACGACTCTCGGGTGGTTCCGGAGCACGAGCCGACTTCAATTACATGAATTCGAGGCTGATGCTTGTGCATTGAATTCAAAACAATCTGAAATAAACGAAGATGTTTTAGATGAAAAGAGTCGTTGACATATTTTTCAGCGTGAACTGTCCCGCTATGTAAAATATTTAACATCCTCATTTAAACTTTCGGGTATATGTTGAAGATGGCTCAAAGAATGTTATCAACCTTGATTTGAAAAGTTTAAACATGCACATGTTAGCAGCAAAAATGATGATGTATTAACTAGTAATTAAATTTTGTACGTTTCGTCCAAGCTCAGTTCCCCAACCTAAAAAAAAACACCCTTGGTTTTTGCCACGGAAATTCGGCCGCTGCAACAATGAAGCTCTCTCCGAAATGTTTTATTATGCCCGATATTTTATTGATCAAAGATCGTTTTGTGTACTTACAAATCCTTGGTCACAGTTCTTGTTATTGGTCAACTTGAGTTTACTGAAGGTTATGTCCTGCTTCATCCAGTGAGCGCCGGAATTCGGGGAATCGGGATGCATGTAGATGCGACCATCTGAAATAAAAATATGAACATATATTTGATATAACTTATATTTCATATATTCTATTTTTAAACGTTCATAATCCTAGAAATACACAGGCGTTTCAGTGTTTAAACCATTTTGACACGGTTATCTCGTCGAATATAAGATACTTGAACAAGAGAAATTTCCTACCATTGGAATGGGTATAGAACAAATTGCTAGGTTTTGTCTCCCTGCTTTTAATGGAGCAGGGGGTATCTGGAGGGGGGGGGGCAAGTGTCCTGCTGCCCCTCCAGGGACCCCCCTTTTGTATATATATTCATTAAATTTGTCATAGCTCGAAGTGCACATAAAAATAAAACATTTGGTACGAAGATTATTCAAGGCAAATGTGTTCATATCTCTAAAACATATTCATAAAAATTTCGTTCAAAAATTATTACGTTTAAAGTAAAGTAAGCGACAATCTCAATCCGTCATAAACTGACGGGACTTTCCTGTTGCGCTCCAGAGGAAAAAAAATTAAATGTGTATGCCGAATAGATATTCGGTACGTCTTCTACATAAGAAGGTCAATCAGAGTTCACTATATATTACGGGTTTGTTGGCCTATTAGTTACTACAGGTTCTTTCCTTTATTTCCAAGTTAAGGGTTTACACAGAATTGGCCAAATCAAAGGACAGTTCAATTTCATTTGTATCTTTTTATATTTATTTTTAGCACAGATAATAGAATAAAAAAATATACAATAGTAAATCAACTAATAAAATAACTGAGCTGTATATAAACACTCTAAGTGATACCGTGGTGACAAAATAATTATGTTGAGAGAAACAGAAAATAACAGAAAAAATAATGACACATAGTTTATACATAACTTCACGACTAATGAGAATAAAGTAACAAACAAACAACAAAAAAGAGAGAAAGAAAAAAATATTCATTTGCATTGCTTGAGACAGTTGGTTTTCCTTGGTTTGAGCTATGAAAAAGAATGAACGCTGTCGAAAAGTCGCACGCACACCAGCACGCAAGCGCAACAAGCACGTGGAAAGATACACACATACTTACACAGACATACTCCGACCGATGTCGGCCCCACGTGCGCGCAAGCTCAATAAAGAATCGACTCAAGCGCGATTAAACAATGACACGTCTGATCTTTAACAAGAAACTGTTATTGAAAAGCACGCTGGCGTTACATAAGAACAAATTCATTCCACATTTAATACAACACGGCTAAGAACTATCCGACCACTTCAGTCGCCAATAAACCCTACTTAAACCTGCAACAGTGACCACAGCAGAGACAATATTTCCCTCTCATCTCTCCAGCGTCGAGACGATTTATTGAAAAACAAGCAAATCGTTGGTCAAGCGACGATATTGGTCTTTCCAGAAATAGAGAAGGTGTAACATTGCTGCATATTTCCCTCCTCTCAAGTGTTTTGGTGAGAGTGAAGCTATTGCATTTTTGCAATATTGTCGAATTAATAAAACCATCATTTATCTGCAATGTATGTACTTAACCTCTGAAGGGGACACCTCGGTTACGTAACGACCCATTTGCTGAAACACAACTTGACAAATAAGATCGACGAAACGAAAAAAGTGTTGAAATGATCTACTTTAGGCGGCCCACTGAGGGATGGGAGGGGGCGATCCAGTACACAGGCAATAAAATTATCAAATCACAGATCATGGGAAACTAAAATGTTTCAATGAAAATGCAGGAAATAGGTTCTTGTATAATGCCTACATTTCACGGATAACGAATAAGCAAGAAAGTTGCAATTGGGGTGCGTCACGGATTCTTCCCGGATGACGCTATATAATCTATATAATATGAACGTTTACCGTAGGTCGGCAGGAAAATTGATTTCGCGTGGTAGGGTTTTCCATTTTTCTTTCTCTTTCTCTTTACTTTTTTTTCCGTGCAATAAGCTGATTAATTTATTATTGAAAGTATCGGATCGTTGTATGTGTTAAAATAGTCATCATATTATCATTGCACTTATTATAGCATTATATGGAATAAAAATTATTATATATCATTTTCATTGAATAAATACAAATAAAGAGAATTCCCATACGAACCAATTCGAGAATGGGAAGAGATTTTACCTAAGACGATCTTGAAAAATTTAAAGTTGAACACAGCGTCTTACACATGTTCTCCAAAAGGTCATTTCCATGTCTACCCTTGAACAACACTAGGTATGCGTCTTAAAATTAAGACAATATTTTATTCGGAGGACTTCTGCGTCTCAAAAATCCCATATTTGCCAAAATTAAAAACAAAACAAAACAAATAGCTTAGTTATTATTTTTCAGACTTAAAGCCCTCTCTCTCTCTCTCTCTCTCTCTCTCTCTCTCTCTCTCTCCAATAAACACTCTCGATCAAAGGCCATTCTTTTCTCTTTCTTCACTTAGTTTTTATCACTTAATATCATCTTTTAATCTTTAAATTTTGATAACACGATCAATGATAAAACTGCGCAGCTCGATGCTAAATTATAGCCATACGCCTTAAAATGTGTATATTGTGTAATGACATTTTTCTCAAAGATTAACAGCCGTGTGACCTTACTAGGCAAGATCATTTCACAGAACATGTCTTAGTCTTTTAACAACTTTCAATAAGTAATGTGTAAACAGCTATTTATCACTCTTTTTATCATTTATTGGAGATAATGTTACTGACTGTTATCACGATTATCAGTCTGTCAGTCTGTAAATCAGCCGCTAAGGATAGGCTATATATATATAAAGCGTGTGGAAAACAGGAGTTAACGACAAAGTGTGAAGGGATTTATTTTAGTGTCACGGTAGTTTGAACGGCTTGACTATGAGGAATTATTACATTCTCTCTCTCTGTCACACACACACAAACACACACACACACACACACACACACTTCAACACAAAGAAAAACGTGTAACACAACACTCAACACACAAACACAATCGGGCACGCGCATACGAATATATTTCTCTTAAACACCGCTACAAACGCACGCGCACACACACACACACACACACACACACACAGACACACACCTTACTCTCAACAACAGCGGCGAACAACAGTCTCTATTTTCCACAGCATTCGTTTTCTATCTTTAATGCATTATTCAAAAATATCTGGACTGGCATAGAAAAAACACTACCATTTTTCCAATCATTACTAAAATTCAACGGAGACTGCTTGACAAATGTTTTCGAAGTTTTCTACCTGTTAATTGCAAGTTCCTTCAAGATCTGGTCTAATTGCTTCCTCCGCTTATCAAGACTTCCTCGCCACGTATAATGTTCAAAATATTATGCAGCCAGCCGCGTGTGCTTATTTTTGCTATGTTACAAGTTGCACTTATTTGTCTTTAAAACGTGTTTCGAATTTATTGTGTATTTTAGCGTGTCTAACGAGTTATAATTCGCCTTAGCGAATATTTTTACTTGTCACTTACCAAAAGATTATATTTTTGTTGTATATAATATAAATTTGTGTAAGCTTATAATTTTTTGCATGCAAATGATGCACGTAAGACCTTTACAAAGCAGAAAATAACTTTCCTGGAAATATTGGCAATTTTTCCTTGATTACTAAGGTGCATATCCTATACAAAACCGCTAAGGGAACTACGATCTATAAGCTAATTGTTAGTTCCAAATTTCTGATATTTTCCGTCACGAGTGAAATTCATTAGTTTCTATCTCCATTTTAGTCTATTTCAAGAGCACTTTTTACGTAATTCCCCTAGGCCCCTGCGCGCATGGAGGCCGGGAGACCATCAGGTAGTTAGTTGGCGCTGTTTTAAGTGAGTCGGCCATATTTAGACCGCGGATCTGTTAGCCCGAGGATCAACTTTTCTGAATGCGCTCTAAGATGCGTGTAAACTATGTCACTTTCAGATAGATATATTCATGAAACAAACACAAATATATAAACCACCAACCCTGTAAAGAAGATACGAAAGTCTGCCTGATTGCTGATGCCGAACTTCGGATTGTCAGCTCTCTCAATTTCAAATAGATACCTACATAAAACAAATACATGAAAACCAACAGTTGTTCAAAGTAAACATAAAAGTCTACTCACTTGCTGGTAGCTGTTCGGCTTGTCCGCAAGGGACCCATTTTCCCGTTTGGAACTTCCAGTGGTGGGGATCCGCCAGCACCATGTCCACGAACACGTTGTAGTGAGCCTGGGGGTCCAACCCCTGAAGAGATATCTGGAGCGTCGGGAACATGCGTCTGGAAAATCATGCAAAAAGAAAGGAATTTTACAGTAATTAACTATTATGGAGTATAGACGTTCAAACATTGTGATGTATTTGAAATTGAAAAGTAATATGAATAAGATGAACATGTGCATTACAGCAGTCTTTGTGTAAAATTTTTTTCTGTTGGATTATAAAATGTATTGTGAGATCAAAGTTGTTATTAGAAGAGTATTTGTATTGTAATAAATAAATAAATAAATAAATAAATAAAGGTACAAGTCATACTATTTGCAAATATAAGAATCTACTTTTTCATTGAAATTCTTTTGGTTCCAGTGCACATCTAAAATAAATATGACCTAATAATACATTATTAAATTGCATTATAAAACTACTAAAAACAATTTTGACAAAAATTAACGCAACGATTACTAATCAGACACTGATTCATTGTTAGTCTTGTGTCTTATGAGTCATTCACTAAGCCCTTATGGTGGATTTGTCACCTATACAAATTGCACAGGTCATTCTGCATTACGTCCTGTATGAATATCCCATAAATAGTACTTAAAACCTCAACGTCTATAAATATTATACAAATCCAGAATAGAAGATTTTCTTCTAGTCAAAACAAGAACCCCCTCCCCTAGGTAATGAACATAATCATAAATGTCAGCGTGTCCTCATAAGGTGGTCAACCCAAATCACCGACGGGGGTCCGGCTTCATAAAACAAATGCTGACCTTAAGTTGGACTAAACTTTAAGACAAAAAAATAGACTACTTTGACTCAATATAAATTATTAGTTGCCCACTATTAAATGAATCTTGTGTTGTTTTATGAAGGGAAAGGGTGCCTTTTTCCCCAAAAAAGTAACTTTATCTAAGTTGGTTTCTGTTTATTAATCTTAAACGTGAAGTTAATCAATTAATTCTAAGAGTTGATCTGAGAGCTCGGACTTGTTTTTGGGACTAAACTTTTGTGGCTCCAGCTCCTTAATCTTATTTCCGTCACAAAGGTTTTCTGTTTCCGACACGAGTACTCAGTCACTTTGGGGGTGGGACGGGGAGGGAGATTATAACGGATCAACGAGAAGATTAAGATGCCTTCTAGATTAAAATGGCTTCAGGCCCCAATAAAAACCCTTTGTTGGGTTACGTTAACCGTTTTCAATATTTAACGATAACTCGGGCGTCTCTATTTACAATGGCCTTCTACCTGGTCCAAAATTCAGGCTATCCTTGGCAGAACCTGTTCCGGATAGCGGTCAGTTTCGTAACCATGGGTCATTAAGTTATTAAAAATAGCCAATTGGTGGACATAATTGGAAATGACCGCTGATGTGTGGTCAACAACCCTTATAACATAGGTCAGAGAACTGATAAGAATAAATTGCAGCCATTCCAGAGTCGGTCATTAACGCACTCCCGTATTTCTGGCACATGTCGCAAAATAATGACTCCAAATTTTTGATTTGACGCGTGTCGGCTTTTTCATATTGAAATTCTTATACCAACTTTGTTGTTAAACTGAAAATTAAGGGGCTTAGCAAGCTTGACGAGATGGTTACTGTTTTACGTCATAATTTTTCAACTGATAACCACTATAGGAAGTTAAATAGTTAACTGTAATCGATTACACCAATGCCGCGTTGATTAATACCAATTAAGGAAAAAATGCAGTAAAATATTATAGAGAGTGAATATAATAGTATAACGTAAGGGGATATTTATACTAATGACGCACTAATAAAGAGTCAATATGAGAATGGAAACAAATATCTACATAACCACTCATGCTCAGCAAGGTTTCTATGCCCCTGTATGATAGCATAGCAAGAATATGATGGAATTTTGCCATATTTAAAACTTAAAAATCGGGTCCAAGATGTAATAGTTATAATATAATATGGCCAAATTTGAGAACGATTACTGGGAAGTATGCTTTAAATGGATTAAAAAGTTCACATTAATTCAAGAGAGAGAGAGAATAAAGGAAAAACAGTCTCGAAAAATGAAAAGGAAATTACAATCCGTTTCATAGAATTTTTTCGTCAATAGGTCGTTTAACTATGTACTTCTTTCAAGGAAGGTGAAACACAAGATACCGGAGATGCTTTCTCTCTCTCTTTTGCTTTTAACTATTTCATTTTCAGTGCAAATACATCAATTCATATTTACATCAACTAGATATTTATCAATTTTACATTTAACGTTGTTGAAAATTGTTTATGAAAGCATTTTCCTTAAATGAATGAAGAATATTGTAACCTAATTTTGTTTTAAGTATAGTTCACATCGATGAAAATGAAATTTTAAGTGTTTACACAAATAGTGTAAAATGAACCGTCAATAATTGTTATCAGTATTGCTGAAATTTGACATTAAATGAAGCAGTAGTAGAAGTATGGAACTCAATAAACATTTAATATTAACAACTGTAAAGGCGTAGAACAAAGATGCAGTAGTTATTACCATCATATTCAATGTTTTAACAAATCAGTTACTCATAATCGATTAAATTACATTTTAGTAGGTTAAAGATAACAATCGATTTCATTTTTTCCCAATATAAACGCACTTGCAATTAGGACCCGACGAAACTTTAGGACTAGATTTCCGTACTTTCAAGTGATACTAAACGATATACAACAGATTTATACACTAAGATTATTCTTTATAAAGACGCACAACTATTGTTTCTGCCATGCGTTTGATAACATTGTGTCATTTAAAACCTCAACTCCGACAAATAATAAGTAAACTCATAATATTAAAAAAAATCTTATTGTCATATGAACATTTTATGTGCAATGACGGTGTTAGTATGGCCGAAATCAAGGATGGACGTTTCCATGGTAACGACATCTCGTGCTTCATTGCGGAGTAATTGAGGAAGCGTATATAGGAATAATGATCGATTTCGTTCTATCCCATGCTAATTACAGCCCTCGGAAATAACTAGAGAGTTCCTTATATTTTTTTTTACCATCTTAGTATTTGGCCACGATTTCCTTTTGTATTTCTTTTTCTTTTTAACATTTTTCGTATATTTTTTTTACCATCAAGGTATGCGTATATCACATTTTTGTATCATTTTTTCCTTTCATTTTCCGTTTTATCTGTCATTTTTACCATTTACTGTGTATTGTTTTCCTTCTTTTTCATGATTTTAAAAAAATTTATATCTTATATTTTTGCCACTAAACAAAAGTGTAGGCTTTCAATTCGTCTATTTGCATATTTTATTCTGTTCATTTTTACTATTTACAAAAAAATTGCTCCAAAAAACCTGATATTTTAACCATCGTAGAGTAAGTGTGCACTCCCTTGCGCATTTTATATTCATTTAATCACACTTCCATTGCTTTATAATGTACGCACTCCATCTTTCTATAACCTCCCCCTTGTTTTAACTAAAGAACAATATCTCCAATCAACTCCTTGTTTTAGCTAAATAACAATATATTTCATCAGCCCCTTCTTCACCCAAAAGCCTCAATGGCGTAAATGAAAACGGGTGACATAATCATATTTACAGATAGAGAGTAGAACATATTGTCTCTAAAGAGAAAATAATCAGCAGGTTATAAACAGGTGCATCAGGCACGGCATTTTCAGCTGTCCCCGTGGCGTTGTCTCAGCCACGGCGTTTGTCACGCCTTTTGGGCAGTCTTTCAGAACGCAGCGGTGTTGCAAGGGGGCAGGTGACGCGAAAACGACTGCTCAAAGGAAGCTGGCTTGATCCAGCCACCGATTTTAGAGAGAAAGAGAGAAGTTGAGAAGAAGAAGAGAGAGAGATTTTGTGGAGAAATTGATGAGAGATAGAGATGGAGAGAGAGAGAGATCTGCCCACTGAAACTCATATACCTTTAGTTTATCATCAATGAGTATGCCTCCGCAACTAAAAGCAAGTTCAACAACGTTTCAAAACACACTCACAAGTTTAAAGGCGTCCCATTCCCAAATACAAACGAAATCAAAAGAAGTGAAACATGAATAAATTGATTAACTAACAAACTGAGGTGGAAAATATATGCATAAAATAAACAAACACATAAATGATTTTTTTTTTAATATTAGGGAAAATATTTTTAGCTACAGAGAGAGAGAGTGTGTGTGGGCACACCTTGCGTTACTGATTTACTGTCGCAGCTTATTTTGTTCCTTAAAGAGTAATGAGAGGAAAAGAACTTCCTTTGGACATCCATGTAGAAGAGAACAATCATCTAATGACCGGAACAATGGCCGCGTCCTTGCCAGACTTCCGCCTGTTAAATCTTGACGATGTCGGGAAATCAGGCGATAGAAAAATAGAGCTGCATTTCTCAAAAGTGAGTTAGTTCTACAGTTGATTTTAATTGTTAGGACAAACGTTAAAGTCCTCTTTGAACCACTAAATCAGTTGCAGCTTCAAAGTTAAAAAGCAAATTGGAAATCTACGGTAGAGTAACTAAAGCAATTCCCTCTTTTGCTTTTCATCAATCGCACGTTATGTTTCTTTAATTAGACCAATACTGATTCATGTTAGGTCAAAATATGTTAAATGTAAAGTCTAGAAGTTAACACCAACTTTCAAACTTCAGTATTTTTCAATGGGCACTTTTTCTTCCAGTAACGTGTTTCTTAGGTTAGACACACCAAGAAGTTATAACTTCTTGGACACACTAAGCTATCAGAAGCAAAACACATCGCCAAAGGGTATTTAAAAAGCGTCTTAAGAAACACAACCTTAATTTATGCTAATATTAACGACAGCCCCTTTTTCGAAAATAATTTGACCGGCACGATAATTTCTTGTTTATTTCTAGTTCACATGGTATTTATTTATTTTTGCCATATATCGTGATAATAAGCGCCATGCCTGGTGTAGTTTTCCCATATTTTTTTTCCTGATAAAATTATGTTAAGCAAACGAAATTCAGCCACGACAATTAGTCAAATTAAGCTAATCCATTACAAACCAAGATTTATGGACACACAAGGTCGCCTTTTTGGTCTTAACTTGACAATACAAAGACAATGAACCTTAACTTCAAGGTTATGAACTATTGACACTTAGTTTACGTGAAAATAATCACCAACAATAATCTTTATGGCTATGTAATCGATATTATCGTTGACGGTCTTTGCGGGAAAAAAGATGTGAATCTTTTCTATCTCGTGTAAAAAGAAGACCCCAATACATTACCACGATCGTAAAAATAAAATAAAATAATAAATAATGAAGTATATTAAACGTATTGCCATATTATTCCTGCAATTGGCATTCAATTAGCAAAGTCGGAATACTGGTGATATGAAAAAACAAACAAACAAAAGAAACGTTAAGACGAATATTAAGAACAGAATAACTGCATAGATCTAGAAAAACAAAGAAACCGCTGGTGTGAATAATGCGCAGCAGCATCAACGTCAATACTTGGATTTGGCAATACCGCAGATTTTTTGATACACATTTCTCCTTTTTTACATTATCAAGTCCGTTGCCATTTTTTTTTTCGTTTTCGGAAAAGAGAATTTAAATCTTAATAGCTGTAAATAAAACGAACACGTGAAGGGACAACTAATGACGTCAGACCAACGGTGCGGTTCTTGATTTCATTAGCTCGACATTTACTCCATTACCAATACTTATCACAATTTCACATTTCGTATTAGCACTTGAGTACTACAACAAAAAGAAAAGGTTTTATGTGAAACTTGAATATGTATATAGTTCTAATGTAAAATTTGAATTTATATCGCTGATAGAGTGATATATATATATACGGCTAGATGTAGTCTTACAGCTCAGGTGAAATAACGAAGAGACTAGTTTCTGTATTTTGAGATAATAAAACATAATTATTTATTATAAACTTTATAATGAATCTATGAAAATTTTGATTGTTTACCACCACGTAGAGTGGAAGTCTTTACTCCATTCGAAGTTACTGAAATTATGACTGGGAACTTTCTTTCTAATTTGCGTAGTTTGGATTGTGCATTCCTTTCATTTTCAGATGTTGTTGGTTTTTACTTGGAACCACAAGACGACAAATCCCCTTAGTTTTAACAGTATAATACATTTAATGTATGTGTTACTGTGGAAAATATTTTTCCTACAACAAATTACCAAATCCATTGCACTTGGCCCCAGACGACAGCGGAACTGCGCATCCTTTCAACGACTTCCGGCGTTTCAGTGATCGCAGCGGTCTATCCGCACCACTCGCTGTGAATGTCAAAACACCGCTTTCACCACACCACGTGGTTCGCTGATCCCGTTTTCACTGGAGACAATATTTTGCATACCCTCCGCGGGAGGTTGTGATTAACGACCGACTGTCGTAAAAGAAATCGGCTGTAGTATACACACGTGTGATAGCATGCCACTTTGTCGGACCAAGTATAACAAGACGTGTTGATTTTCACTGGGGATTCCCCTAAAAGTTTTGAAATATTGGTCATGTTTTACGAACCATAATCGTCTGCGTATTCTCTGTAAAAACTGGCAAGACCTCGCGTAAAAATCACTTGGAAAATTTTAAAAAGCGGCACATGAGGCTGGCAAGCTTTATATATACAGCTTGATGTAGCTTAACAGCTCAGATGAAAAAACGAAGAGGCTAGTTTCAGTATTTTCAGATAATAAAACATTATTTTATATATATATACGTGTGCCCTGTCAGTTAAAAAAAATCGAATGATGCTAGGGTGACAACTAGTGTCATTTCAAAGACATTTGACAGTTATAGCAGGACGATAATGACAACAGTGTGACAGGAATCAACCTATGGTAGTCTCATTACAGAAGCCATCTCGAGATAAAGGTCTGATTTTCGTTTTCTTTTTGTCTTCACCGTCTCCCTTGCTAATTAAAAAAGTCTTTTTCTTTTCTTTAAAATGAATCCGAGCTTAAGATAAGCCGCTTTTTCTCCAATGCGTTTTATCATTTCTATCATTTCTGGTGTCATCAAATACATGTTGGTCGTCTTATTTGTAACTCTACACTGACTATATTGGCTATTTATCAGGGTTAATTTAGCTCTTTTCATGCAGAATGTTCAGCTTTCACCATTTTTTTCATCACCATTTTTCTGCTGCAAGGTAATTTTAATGATTCTTCCTTTACATCCATCTTTTAGTCTTACGTTGTTTTATGCATTTCAGTATTTCGATAATATTGCCTATATAAGTATTCAGTGAATGATCATATATTATACGAATAAAAAAAATGAACCATTATCAGGATAAAAGAATACCACGATACCTAAAAAAAAAGTCATTTTTATTTTTTATGACAATTAGAGCTGTACAAAAGAGCGAAGGGCCAAACACAGAAGTGCCTTAAAATGTGATATCTTTTCTTTTTCTTTCTTTTCCTCTTTTAGCCTTTTCTCATTTCACCAGATGTGCAATGGAGAGGGGGTATGCTCAAGGGGAATATCAGTGATAACCGCATTCTATACACTCTTTGTTATAATAATAATAATAATAATAATAATAATAATAATAATAATAATTATAATAATAATAATAATAAAAGCAAGATTCACTTAAACTGCTTCCTGGTCAGAAAGAAGTTTTTTTTAACTAATGGTAAAGCTGCTGATTTTGTAATCCCATAGAGTTGGACCGATACTCATATATTCATATATCAAGTTTTATATTTGTCTATTTCGGTTACTGTCACAGAAATATATCTATGAAACTAGATTTTTTAAAAAGACAGCACCTACCTTCCTTGTTTCGTAATTATCATTTCTGTCGTATGCTGGTGGAACTTCAACCACAGGTCTCTGTTACACAAATACACAGACGCCTTGCCTGGTCTAAGCCTCCCGTCGTCGCCGGGTAGGGGGTGCCCCGCACCTTGCATCGTCCCGGGGGGAGCTGGGTGCAGAGTCGGGGCCGCCGCGGCCGGGTAGGGGATCGGGGCGGCGATCGCGGCGGCTGGAATGCCGTAGGAGTCGGTCGCCGCCTGTGGAGGGGGGTAACCGCCGTTCAAGGAGCCGATGGACCCCATGGGCGACTTTCTCAGCTGTGTGGGATACAGTGGGGCGGTGGACATGTGATAGGGGTAAGGCTGGAACGGAGCAAACGCCGGGTCCATCCTGCTGGCCGGAGACACCATACTTCCGGTGGGGATGTGGTCTGGGTAGCAGCCATCGGTCAGTTTCTGACCACCAACTGCGTTTCCGTGCTCCGATTTTGGGAAGACTTCGTCGTCGTCTTCTGTGGAGGTGTCCTGCCCGCTGCCGACGCCGCAGTCGCTGGCTTTGCCACAATATGGAGTCAGATCCGCGTAGACGCTTGGCTCGTGTTGGAGAGAATTACAGCTCTCGTCGTCTGTTTTTTCACCGTTGTAGCTGCTACCGTGCCCTGCTGACTGTACGGTGTCCGAATCTGACTCTTTACGACGGCCAACTTCATCGCTTCCAGCAGAGCCTCGTAGGCCGCCTTGTAAATAAAACCGCTTAGTGGCCGTTTTCAATAGACCCGAATACCCCACGTTATTTTCTACACTGTTGGTCAGCCTGCTACCTGAATCGGCATTGGCCGAATTATCGAACTGTCCTACACTGACCATCAACTGTCTTGCGGCCAAGGAAGGCGGTGCTCCGATCATGTCTTCGTGAACGCTGCGCCCGACAACCCCGGCATTGCCTCTAAGCATTGTGTCACCTTGTTGTAACGGTTTCACCGAGACGCCAAGGCTACAGCAAACCACAACGACAGCTCAAGTTGTCACTAACCTCTTCCAGATAATGGAACTAAAGTGACCAAATAATCGTCTATGGCCCTTGCGAAAAGATCACCCAATTTGATGCTGCGGCGGTGACATTCTAGATGATAATAGCTCCTGTTATTACACTGAAGATCACTGTTAAGACTAATTTTTCAGTCAATAATCTCAATCCGATCGCGAGGTCGCCGTTTTTCCCATGCAGGTTGTTGACAGTTGCACAGTTAACTAGACTGTGTTGTTTTGTGTTATTCAAGCGCTGTATTATGGTCCCTGTGCTTTGATGACGAAACGATCTGTCAACTCACTGAAGCCTGGTGGGAGACAACCAACGTGTGATCAACCAATCAAAAATGGAAGTGTGCGGGACATGCGCACAGGCGCCTGGCTGCGTGTAGCGCGCCGTGGTTCTCTGGCAGACGACACAAATGACTCCAATTTGTATTGTCAAAATATTTAGTGATCAAGCACACAATTTCACTGAAGGGTTTTCATTAGACGCTGATTTCTTCAAAACTTGAGCGAGACTCAGCAAAGCTCGAGTGCTTAGTTGTACAAGTCTCAGCGTGGGTCATCCCTCTTGAAATTATGTAAGTCGTCTTCTTCTCTTGTCACTAGATCTGACAATCTCGGCTTATTAACGCTTTAATGAGCGTTCTATGGCTTCTCAAGAGTTCGCCTGCCTCCTCAAATACACTGCCGTGGCAGGTGAGATAAGCACTGATTATAGTGAGGGTAAACGAAACATGTAATAGGGACTAATTACAATTAGAAGCCCCGCGGACAAAGGCCGTGCACAATGGACCGGACAAATGAATTGACCATGCCGGCCACCTGTAGACTTCAGGCTTCAACCCGTGGCAGGTAGATTAAGCGGAAAAATTGGTCGTGAATGAGCGAATGACCACTTAACCGGATCCCGACAGTTGTCTATCTAACCTGTACGTTAAACGTAGGGGTTCAGTTAGCAAATTGAAGCCATTCTTTGTCGCTCGTGTTGAGTTGGATTCTCTCTCTCTCTCTCTCTCTCTCTCTCTCTCTCTTCTTTTTATACATTTAACCATGTGCATCAAAATACCCAACAGAACAGAAAAGACAAAATGAAATATTCGTTATTATGTCCAAGATGTAACCCATCATGACAAAATCAGGAATCTTTGGAAATATGTTGTTTTAAAAACAACAAGATTTTCCCTGCAAAATGGTGTAAAAATATTTCTGTAACTTTTAAATTGTTAAAGTTTATAGCTTCTTATTAAGGGGCTTTTTTATATTTTTACTGTATAATGTATTTAATTTATTTGTTTGTTGTTCATTTATCTATTTACTGTTTATATTTAGCTATTTATTTATTTACTTAATCAGGCAGTTGGTTTATCTTGCTAGATGTGGGTAGGTGCTTGGTTTAGTACGTAGACAAGAACATCATATATATTCTCTATGTGTATTCTTTCTCTCTCTTACACTTTGTGTGTGTTGCTTAAGTCTTTAATTTTTCTAACCAGGCCTTTTTGAAGAAAATATGAAATTATTTAAACCAAGAAAAAAGCGGATATCAGACCAAATGGAATAAAGTTATATGAATTATTTTCAACCAAAAATAAGAAAAAAAACTTAATAATCTGTACAAATTTTATGACATCTTGAATAAAGGGGTCAAATCAACTAGGCTGACATGCATCTATTCCACGAACGGTAAACGGTATTGCATAACAGTAGCCTTTATGAGAAATAAACTTGCATGCTTGCCTGATCTACCCAATCTTCCTATATCCAAAATTGCTACATCGTGACAGAACTAATTGTGCCCAATCCTACATGTAATTGTGGGGTTAAACTGACATTTTTATTGGATAATTATCAGACCAGATAAATGTTGTCTCGTGGATTGGTTACGTATGGCAGAACGCGCATCCCCAGTATCACGTGCAGGGATCTTGTTTTAAAACGCCTTGGCCAGATGAAGAGATAGGCATTACATGATATTTTATTAAACACTGAATAATGATTACAGATGCATTTCACAGACTTTCCCCACAACTTTTTGAATATATATGTACATATATTGTGTAATATTCAGGGACGGATCTTCTAAAGACGGTCAGCTTTTCCAGTTTACATAAACGAGTAACTATTTTTTTTTCTGTCGGAAGACGGTCACTTATAGAGAATGAATCAACAAAGATAATTTGGAAGACTGTCAGAAAATATCTCTTGATCCGTCCCTGATATTACATGAATGAATACGCTGCCAAATTTGTCGCCACTTAATCTATAATAATCTATAATAAGACAAATTAATTGTTTTATTCGCCCAAGCTACGGTATATAAAAAAAGATCCATTCAAACCAACCAATTGAACCTGGATTTGCTGTCTTTTGCAATTTTAATGTACTTCAATCATAGCTCTTGTTACTCACTACATATTAGACAAGCTGGCATTCTTATTGGTGGTGGTTTACATGTGTTTCACTTTTCTGTAGTTTTAATCAAAAAGCATAAAGTAAGTAAAATAACTCTTATATTGAATTACGTGAGATACTTGACAAACTTTGTAATCACAGTATCACAGAAATTAATTTCAACAATGATTTTATTTCGTTAGGTATTCACTTATTTTTTTCCTTCTTTTTTTTTTTTTTTTTTTTTTTTTTGTTGATATTTTTGTGGTGCATCAAAGTATCTACATCTTTATTCATTTCATGTCTCGTCTATCTGTTATGGTTTCGAATCTTGTAACTTTACTACCTCTCTCTCTCTCTCTCTCTCTCTCTCTCTCTCTCTCTCTCTCGAAGTCCCGTTCTTCACGTTACAATTATTTTTCGGATTTCCATTAAATGTTGTAATATATATCTAGATTTTGCTATTTAGCCTATACCAATGCATGTGTAAAATTTCTTCATGCCCAGTAAAACTTGATAGTTTTTCAACATTTTTCCGAAATGGTTAATATCAAAAGCTATAGGACAATTTAATTAAAAAACATGTATATAAATTATATGCTTAAAATCACCATCTTTTGTCAGAGAAGATTTCAGTTGGATTACTCAGTTCAGCATAGTTAAAGGGATAATAACTCTTCGTATGAGATCTATATTTCATAATAAAAACATTTTGAACAACTCATAGAAATTCAATATATTCAGTTGTACAAGAAAAACGGCAATTTTAGCTATTATTTTTATATCTGAGCTTGTCTTTAGACCACGTGACCCCCTTGATGGCAAAACTCTGTTATAATCTCTTAAGAGATGATAACAAAAAACAAACTTTTTAGAAAAAAACAGGGACTAACTTTGAATGTAAAAATGGATTCATTAACTATTGGTAAGTACTGGAAAATTGTTGCTTACTCCAGAAAAATTCATTTTTGGCCAAAACGAAGAGTTATTATCCCTTTAATTTTTATTCATTATATTTATTTTCACCAATTTTAATTCATTTACAGACTCATATACCCTGCTCATAACTAAAAAAAACCTATTCAGTGACCAAAATGAGTAAAATGTCTATTTAAAATTAGTATGGCTAATTTCGGTGCAGAGTGAATGTAATTTAAAGGTAATGTTTAATTTCTGCTAACATTTTCCATGGATATAATTTTTGAGTACACTTCTTACATTTCCCTCTGTCACAAAAATAATTAACAATAAAAAAGATAGATAAATTAATGAATTAATTAATAATTAAAATTGATAAATAAATGTATAGATGGATAAAATAATACATTAATTAATTAATTGAAAAACATCAAGCGCCAATCAAAATCGCATCAGTAAGCGTTAGGCTTTTCAATTGCAAAAATATACAACAAATTCATCAAAATTTAAAAATGTACGCTTAAAGCCATTGTTTTCGAGTACAAAAGTACTTTTTTAAAGTTTTACGAGAGAAATCCCCATGACTCAATCCCTGTTAAGAGAGTTGACTCGAAAATGTGCAAATTAGAACACAGAAATGGTGTATATAGGTCTCAGTTTTGTCAATTTTCGTTTTTGGCATGCATTGGAGATTGAAGGAAAATTATTTCGTTATAGTAAGTTCTAATGCACTTTTTGCGTCTTTAAACACTAACCCTGATTAAATAGGCGGAAAAAACCCTCCCTGTGTAAATAGCAATCACCTGCTCCGTAATTGGTTTCTTAATGAAAAATATTGTACATAATTACATATTTGAACATTAATGATGCGGGCGCTAATTAGGAGGATTATCACTGCCTTTAAATGCATCAACCCCATTCAGAATAGAAGATCCGAGGAACTTCTGGTCCACGGACCAAATATGGCGGACCCTTCATGGAAGAGCCAACTAAACCGCTGATGGTCTCCCGGCCTCCACACGTGCCGTCCTTGCAGGGGTCTAGCAATTAAATCTCGGAGGCGTAATTTAATCTGTTTAATGACGCTTTTAATCGAAGTCGACATTGATTATCTGGCTAATACAACGATAGATTGTGAGGGGAGGGATGTGCACTGGGATACGCACCGCCCCCTCCTCCCCCTAAGCTTCGGAGATCCCCCTCTTCACCTCTTCCTCGCCTCCCTCCATCCCACACCCACCCCTGTACTCCATGTAAAAGTATTAAAAGAAGTGAAATGAGAGAAAATGATAATTGTTGAATTCTTGTGTGTACCATGATCGAAGTTCAGGCCCGTAGCCAGCAATTTCAAAAGGGGGGGGTTCGTTTTCTGAAAAAGTGGACCTTTTTCCAGAAAAACATCATGTATTAGATCAAATTTTACTCAGAGTGGACCTTTTCAAAGGAAAAGGGGCGGTTCTTTCGAACCCCCCGAACTCCCC